GTGTGAGTGTGTGTGTGAGTGGGTGGGAGAGCGGAGGTAAAAAAAAAAAACAAGGCAGATTGTATCCTGATCACACAGTCGACAGAGGAGGGTCAAAAAGCAGCACAGGTACTCATTTGAAAAGCAGGAAACAGGCGCCAGCGCGCATGCGCGTCAGAAATAACGGTGACAACAAGCTGGGTAGAGCTCGGGTTAGGCCTCTGTGTGTATACCTGCTGAACCGGTTTACCCCTCCTCTCTCTCTCTCTCTGCCTCTCTCTGCCTCTCTCTGCCTCAGCCTTTCCCCTCTCTTTCTCCACCTCTTCTCCATTCCGCTTCAAGGTGTGGGGAACGGTGCAGATGACAACAGAAAGAAGAAAATTGGGGGTGTGTGTGTGTGTGAGGAGGGGAGGGGGGTGAACGGCAGTTATACAACATGGACACAGTGGAGCAAACACACACACACACACATGAGCTGCACACACATTCCCCCTGGAGCTGAACGCAACAGCCAAAAGGCCAGTAAGGTGTGCATTATGTTTAACCCCACCCAACCAATAAAGACCTTCACAACTGAATATATTAGACTGAGGGGTGGGTGTGGAGATTGGTGTTTGACAGCTGATTACACACACGCACACACACACACACACACACGCACACACACAGGTACATCATCTTTGTCTTTTGTGGGCAGTGTTGAGGATTCAGAGGGTTTTGAGGATCCTTGTCAGGTTGGGAAATGTGCCTTTTAGTCAGGTTGAATCCCTGACAGTCCTCTGCATCCCTCCCCTCGGCAGATCAGTTCACTATAAACTAACATGAGCATTTAAAGGAGTAAAATAATGTGTATTAATGGGTGTTTTGCAGATTTGTTCACAGATGGAGCTCCATCCAGGGGAATATATTTTTACATATGTTATCAGGGAAGTTTGTCAGTACTTATTTATCTTATTTCCATTTGTATTTGTTCATGCCTGTCCGCACATATGATACTCAGGCGTGCGAATGTGTAAATGAAGCATCATAAAGGGGTTTCTGTGCAGGCCTGCAGGTCATCCGCATAATGATATTTGCATTATATTGTAGGCCAGCAGCTTCTGATGAATATACCTTTACTTTATTGTCACTGGTAAAGGCAATAATAGCAGCCTTTATATGTTCCTCTATAGTGTGAGTGTATAGTGAAAGATATAAAACACATGCACAATTACTTTACTGCGAACACAGCACTTTTTCTAGTCATAAAGTATAATCTGGTTCTTTTAGCTTGATTCTATTTCTCTTATTTTGTTTTGAACTCTGTATTTGGAGTATAAACCCTTTAACCCCCCCCCAGTCTAAATGCTGCCTTTAAATCCTGCAGGAAATACCAGAATCAGGGAACAACAAGGTGGTAAATGCAATAATTCAAAATATTCATACAAAAAATGCACCTGATAAGCTTTTATTCTAAGATACTATTTAAGATACTACTACTATATTTGATTATTAAACACAGAACTTATGTATTAAAATAGAGGAACTTATTTACTCTTTACTTTTCTCATGAATGACAATGAGAGAAATTCTGTAGTTTCTGTTGTTTTAAGACAATTAATGAGTCATTTTACCCCGTAATGACCGATCAGCCTAAATACGTTAAATATTGCATGTAGATCACAGCTTAAATGATTCATTGCTTCATAAATTAGTTGATTGACATAAAATAAACTATTTTCAGAAAGCAAGCAAGCAAAAATTCACTGGTTCTAGCGTCTAAAATGTGAGGATTTGCTGTTTTTCTTTTGTCCGTTTATGATAGCTTTTGGAAAACCCTATTGTTCAGTACCAAGAAACAAGCCATCTGAGTAGGTCAGCAGTCCCAGCTATACAGGAGAATTGTAATGGCACCATTTCTGACAGTTTATAGATCCAAAGAAATTGATCAAATCTGAACGCTACCAAGGTTGTGGAAATAAATGCTCAATGCAGCCTTAAAAAATGTATAAAGGAAAGCGCCCGGTTTTTAAAAATTTTTGAAAACCCGCTAACTAAAAACAGTTTATAGATTCCTGATGAGGGTGGTTATTTATCTGCCTGATTACTATGGATTTATATTAGATTGGTTCACGATAAATGGGGGCAGCGTCTCCAGTGATGCTACCGTGTTAAGCAGGGCCTTATCATCAGTCGTTAATTCCAGTATAAAGTGAGGCTAAAAGGAAGCCAAAT